AATGTATTAGCAGAGCGCTGTGCTAATAAAACAGAGTGGTCTGACAAACTATGAGTCCTGAGTCTAACTTTGACATTTGATTCCCTGAGTAACGAGATTTGGTGTTAGGCACCTTGAGAAATACTTGAAACTGGTTCTAATTCAAGAAGCCAAGTCTAAAGAGCATTTATAGCACTGAGCTGGGTTTGGGTTGATTTGTCTAATGTGGTTCTTGCATGTTTTCTTGTGTTAATCTGAGTGATGTGGAGGCCTCTGAATGTAAATAGTTCTTAATTAAGCCTAAAATGAGCTCAGTTCCACAAAAACAAAGACAAAACCACAGATAGTCTCAGAGATTTAGGGTGACTCAGCTCTGCTGTCCTATGCATTGTTTCAGCTTCTGGTTTGTTTAATTCTTAAATTTAATTTATAAATCTGAACATGCAGAGACAACAATAGCATTAAAAACAGAGCTGTGACAGAGGGACAGGTTGGGAATGTCTCAGCATGAGTAAATTGCCAGCTGTACCTCATTTATTAATCCTTATGCTGATCTCATGATCTGAAAGTCATTGATTTTGTCTTTGGACCTTCAAGGTTAAAATGCTTTCAAATAGCCAAAGTGTGTAGAACAGATTTGGTCAGAGATTTTAGATCTTTTTCTTTCTAGTAGAACATCTCCAAACAGGAGAGTACTTGTGTGCCTTGGATCTATTACTTCCTCATTGGTGGTTGAGAATTCCACATCATGGTGTTTCTGTTTTGAAACTAATACACCTCTACCTCGATACAATGCTGTCCTCGGGAGCCAAAAAAATCTTACCGCGTTATAGGTCAAACCACGTTATATTGAACTTGCTTTGATCCACCGGAGTGCGCAGTCCCGTCCCGTCGTGTCCCTCCCGCCCCCGTTCAATGCTTTACCGAATTATATCAAAATTCATGTTATATCAGGTTCTGTTATATCGGGGTAGAGGTGTAGTTGTATTTGGTTAAAGCACCTTTGCCATATGCCCTGTAGTCTGCTTGACAAGAATTGTAGCCGCATCATCTAGGGTTTGTGGAGACAGAATGTAATGCTGTAATGTTATTCCAGTAGAATCCTAGCTTTGCCCAGGCCCCATGTGATCAAGTCCCTTTTTGGTATATTATTGGCTTCTATTTTTAAAATATTTTATTACAATGGCAGAAATGCATCAGAATAAGCTCTATATGCAGATATTTTTCTAATCAGAGTGGGATATTTTTGTCTAGTGAGCAGAATTACGTTTTTACTCTGATTCCAGAAATTAATCTCATGTGACCTAATTCACTGCAGGTACTGTGTGTACAAAGTAGCTGCCAGCAATTAGACTGTCTTTCCTGTCAAGCAGACAACTATCAAGCTTGAAGAGATCTTTACCATGATAGGAATGTGTTCAATGATCTAATTTGCTAAGCCTGGTGTTTCCCAGATAAGACGCAAGGTGTCTCCTCTTGCTTCTGTCTCAACAGCACATAGTGGAGAGGAGGTGGATTTTCAGTGCACACTTTCCATATTCACACCTGTGATACAACCATGTTGATTTTTTCTTTCTAAAGATAGTTCTAATGTCATTTTGCCAGTGCTTGTATGCTGCATGTAGGAGACCTATGGCCCAGAACCCCTGGATGGGCAGTACTAGTTTCTTATGTGGTTCCTTTTTGTTATTCTGGCTCTTGTCCTGGTGCAGTTAGAAACATCCAATGCTAAGTTGATATGACTACTTCCACCTTTTCATGTTCTGTATATATATATATATATAATATCCTTACTATATGTTCCATTCTATGCATCTGAAAATGTGGGCTACTTATGCTCAAATAAATTTGTTAGTCTCTAAAGTGCCACAAGTACTCCTGTTCTTTTTGTGGATACAGACTAACATGGCTGCTACTCTGAAACCAATGCTAATTTAACAGTTACTTGAAAGCTTGTTAACACTGCACAGACTGTTCCATGATTCCAAAGAACGCTGATTATAAAGGCAAAAATCTGGCCTTGTCCTTCACAGACCGGCCCAACGGTTAGGCCCTGCTCCTGCAACACTGGTGAGCCAGCCGTGCCACACACCCGGTAGGGAGGAGGGGAATCTGGGAGAGACTTTGGACCCCTGCCTGGAGGCTGCAGAACCCGACACCAGCCCACCCTCGGCTTGGGGGAGGGGCGCAGGCGCAACCTTCCGCGCAGGCGCAGCACTTTCCTTTCGGCCAACGGCCAATCAGCCCGTACAAGCCACTGCATATTACTGACCTTCTCCAAATGGTAGTGCCGCCAGCCCAATTATGTACGTCAAGGAGCTGAGGGAGGCCCTCTCCTTGTTCAATGGCGGTTTAGCCCGCACTGGGGCACACCTCTACCCATGTCTCAGGACCTTCCTTCAACTGCCACCGATTATCTCTGACCTTCTTGTAATGGCGGTTGTGCAGCGCAGTATTCTCCCTATCCCCGACCGTCCCATTATGGCGGTTCCTCGGGAGCGCTATTCTGCCTATTCCATGACCTTCGGTCAACGGCTGCTCAGTGCGCGCGCGCGCATTTCAGGGTAACCTGTAACTTCTGCTTATGGTAGAAATGTCTTCACGGGACATTTGAAAATACAGAAAGCGTCCTTTTTGCGCCCGCGAAAAGCGCTGTCTGACCCCTTAGGACCGCCAACGGCCGTGCAGTCTGCGCAGGAATATGACGTCTCCCGATTGTCGACTTTTTCCTAGCATTGGCTCAGTTAGTGTCGTCACGTCTGGTAGGTGAGGTCAGCACAGGGGCCGCCATTTTGGGTGGCGGGGCTGGGATCGGAGTGGGGGCCTTGGGTGGTTGTGGCCCGCAGGGGGAGTTAGTGCGGCCCACGGGGTAGCGGCCCCTATGGCCGGGCAGTTTGACTCCGAGGACCGGGCGAGCTGGTACTGGGGGAGGCTGAGCAGGGCCGAGGCGGTGTCGCTACTGCAGGGGCAGCGCCACGGGACCTTCTTGGTGAGGGACTCGGGCACCATCCCTGGGGACTTCGTGCTGTCGGTGTCCGAGAGTTCCCGGGTCTCGCACTACATCGTAAACAGCCTGGGGACGGCGGGAGGCCGAAGACCTGGCGGCGAGGGCCAAGGGGCCCCAGGTGAGTGCGCGGAGCCGGGCCGGGCTAGGGAGAGGGGCTGCTTTGATTGTCTGACCCGGGGAATGTTGCTGCAGCCTGGCCCTATATTCCCCACTTTGTTTTGCGCTAGGGAAAGCGCGGCCTCAGTTTCTCCCGAAACAGCGGACAGCCCGCGGGCACCAGCCAAAGAGCCACATTGCCCCTGCCCCCGCCCACTCCAGATTGGCGTTCAGTCTCCTGAGGCCCGGCTGTGCCGTTCGTGTTTGTCTTTTGGTTCCGCACTGGGAACAGCTATTTTTGGGGTCCTTCTTTGTTGGGGAGCGGCTCCAGGACTCCCATCCGCCGCCACATGACCTGCAGTATTCCTAGTGTTAAAATCGTGTTGGACGTTATTTGGAGGACTAAAATAGTGCATATATGGACACTGACTAAGGTGGGGGCGTCAAGACTTCCATCCTGAAGTCATTACAGCTCAGATTTCCCATCATTATGTATAAGCCAGGTATGGAAGAGTAAACTGCCACCACCTATTCAGAGGAAGTTGAAATTTTATTGTTGTTTTACATTTTGAATTTGCATTAAACAGTTGAAGACAATTGGCATATTAGAGACTTGGAGAATTTGAAAAATGACATTTTAAATTCCTCTCTTGAATGAGGGAGAACCCAAGATTTCCATTATTTAATTTCAAACCTCAAATGACTGATGAGTCTGAAAATGAAATATGTTAATTTAGTAACTTAAGTGCTCCCACTGTTTAAATAAATGAGTAATTTCTCTTAAGTGAGGTGTTAAAAGTGGATGCTAAGCACAAATATCCTTATTTTATCCTTTCATACTTGGAGAATAAGTAGATGTTATGAATTCTAGAATGGATTAGAATCTGAGATATGAAAATATAAATGTCAAACTGTATTTTAATACAGTCAAGCAATGTCAAACATCTAGAATCAAAGGACATTGGTCATACTTACAGGATGGAGGATTGTATCCAAAAGCAGTGCTTCTGAATTTAGGAGTCATGATGAGCATGACTTCCCAATGCAGCGCAGTTGCTAAGAGGGATAATGTAATTCTTGGATGTATAAATGGAAATATTGAGCAATACGATACTACTTTTGTATGGAGCATCGCTGAAACCATTATTAGAATGCATCCAGTTCTGGTTGCCACACTCCAAAAAGGATATTGAAAAATTAGAAACAGTTCAAAAATTGGGATATTTTGAAGTCTGGAAAACCTGAAATCCAGCAAGAGACTTAAGAAGTCTCTTATTTAATTTTAAGAAAGAGAAGGTTAAAAGGTGAATTGAACCTGGTATTTAAGTACCTTTGGAAGCGGGGTAATTATTCTGGAATAAAGTCCTTTTTTCCAGAGCAGAGTGTCCACATGTGGGAGTTACATCAGCATAGATCAGGGGTGGGCAAACTTTTTGGCCCAAGGGCCACATCTGGGTGGGGAAATTGCATGCAGGACCACGAATGTAGGGCAGGAGTGTGGGAGGGGGTGCAGTGTGTAGGAAGGGGTCAGGGCAAGGGATTGGGGCAGAGGAGGGGTGCGGGGTGTACAAGGGAGTTCAGGGAAGGGGGTTGGGTGCGGAGTGCGGGAGGGGGCTCAGGGCAGGGGTGCAGGGAGGAGTGCGGGAGAGGGCTCAGGTCAGGGGGTTGGGGTGCAGCAGGGGGCTCAGAGCAGGGGGTTGGGGTGCAGGAAGGGTGTGGGGTGTTGTGGGGGGGCTTGGCAAGGGGTTGGGGTGTGGCAGGGGCTTGGGGTACAGGAGGGGTGGCATGGAGATCATGGCAGGGATTCAGGGTGTGGGCTCTGGCCCAGCACCGCTTACCTGGGGAGCGGCACCGGGGTGGCAGCGGTGTGCACCGGGGCCAGGACAGGTTCCCTGCCTGCCTTGGCCCCACACCGCTGCCGGAAGCGGCCGGCACCATGTCCATGCAGCCCTTGGGGAGGTGGGGGGCAGAGGGATTTGCACGCTGCCCTCACCTGTGGGTACCTCCTCCGTAGCTCCCATTGGCCGCGCTTCCCCGTTCCCGGCCAAAGGGAGCTGCGGGGGGCGGTGCCTGCAGGCGAGGGCAGCCGACGGAGCCCTCTGCCCCCTCGTCCCCCAGGGGCCGCAGGGACGTGGTGCTGGCCACTTCCGGAAGTAGCGTGGGGCCCGCGGTGCCACGGGGGTGGCAATCCCGTGGGCCGGATCCAAAGCCCTAACGGGCCGGATCCAGCCCACGGGCCATAGTTTACCCATCCCTGGCTTAGGTCTAGTGGAATGTTTCCCTATATAGACACGTCCAAAGGCATAGCAAGCGCTAGCGGCTGAAAGTTAGTCAAATTCAACTGGAAATAATGTGCAATTTTTTGAGTGTGGGGGTAGTTAACTTTGGGAACAATTTAACAAAGGATGTGGTGGATTCTCCATCACTTGATAGTGTTCAGTCAAGATTGGAAGATGTCTTTCTAAAAGATGTGCCCTAATTTGAATACAAGTTTTGGATCTGTTTCAGGAATTAATGAGTGAAATGTTAAGGCTGGTGTTATGTAGGACAGAATAGGTTATCATAATGGTCCATTCTGGTGTTACTCATCAGTTTGGGAATCAGACATACCCATTTCACAAAGATTCTCTCTCAGTGTCTAAAGAGGCAGAGTATAATAGGATGCAAAGTATATAGGGTGGGATAGTCCAGTATGTCCAAGTGATTTAGGCACATTGATGCCAACATGTGCTCCCAAACCACTTAGATGTTTTTGAAAATCCAGACCATAATTTCAGCAATCAAGTAACCTTTGCATTGAGATATCCATGCACAACACTGTCTGCAACTTATGACGTATTACACATGTGAGCAATTTCTTTTGACTCAATGAGACTACATGCATTTGTAGGAATTTGCAAGATTGGGGTCTTGGAGGTCAGAGACTTATGTCTCTGTCGTAGTCAGAGGTATGACCGCAGCACATTTAGTCATACGTGAGCTAGCTCTGATCTGTGTCTACATGTACTGCAGTTACACCACTGATTGTTGTGTAGACATATCCTAAGTCTTTCCTCCCTCCTGCCCCAGCATATTCTCCTCTTGTAATTAGAACTCTGTTCAGGAGTACTAATCTCTTCTGAGTAAGAAAATAGGTTTATGCTACCAATATTTCTGATCCTTTTCTTTTTAGCTGTAATGGTTCTGATGTTGCAATAGCTGTACTTCCAACTTAAATAGTAGAGATTTTTTTTTAGCAAACATTACATGCTTGGTTAGTCTCTAAGGTTCTTTTTGCGGATACAGACTAACACGGCTGCTACTCTGAAACCTTTGAAAAGTGGAGAGAATATTTTATATCAATAGATCCAAATCTCTTATACCACATTATTGTTTGCCTCAACTTAAGACCTATCTAAAACAGGCCTGGAGAACAAAAACCTGAATTGTTGGAGTCACTGGGATCAGAAGGGTCATATGTTGAGATAGAGCGAATGGTATTGCAAAAACTAGTAAAGAACTCATTACTTGTTCTGGCCTATAATATGAGAACAAGGGACACGTTCTATGAAATTGAAAAGGATCCCCAGGAAATACTTTTTTCCTATGTTCCTAGGTTGCATTTGTCACATTTCAAAGACAATTGAATAAGCTCTATACCAGGCCTGTTCATTTGTGCAGTTCTGTTAATAGGGAAGAAGAGATACTATGCCCTAAAGATTTGATATGCTCTTACAGTTCTAGCTTGCAAAGCTATAAGTATTTACTAGTGGTCATATAATTATCCAATGATTATCTGTATCCCCTTCTGAAGCATTCCTGTTTCTTTTCATTTGTTGTAAACTTACTGTCCCTTAATTTAATTGAATGTATCCTTGTTTTGTACGTAAGATTACATGAGTTTGCTTTGCTCGAGCTCCTGGCACCCATAGGAAAGTGCTGTAGAAAGTAATAGAGAAGAAGCACATGGGAGTGTAGAAGGAAGCAAAATATACCTACAGTAAACCCTTATATAACGCGCGATTATTCAGCACGTTTTTGACATAACACGGTTTTCATTTAGTGACCCATTTTTATGATGCGCGCACTATTTTTATATAGCGTGCGCTCCCATGGACCTGTCCACTCAGGTCGGGCAAGAAAACCATCGACTCCACTCCATCCTTAGTCCAGCTGTACCGGCGGCCTTTGTGTTGTTGACACTGCGTTGTACCAAATTCATCATGCCACCTAAGAGGAGTATCAGTCCTAAAGAAAGTGAGGAGAAGAGAATGAGAAGAAACGGGAAACGATGAGTTTAGCTAAGAAAATAGAGATACTGGACAAGCTCTGT